GTACATGTACCAGAGTCGGATTGTTCCCCTGTTCTATTACTGAGCCCCATTTCGTTCACTCCAGGCAGACCCTCAACCAAAACCGTACACCCCTCTAAGGTGTCAGTCGGTGCTCTTAAGTAACACGGTATGCTGCGCACCTCTCTTGGCAATATCATGGTTGGGTTTCTGCCTGTACGCGCAGCTACTGGTCCCTTACCAGATGTCTCCTTGACTATATTTTCAGTTTCAGTTTGGTCCAATCCCCTTGAAAACCCATACCACTGTAATGCCAATGACCATGCACCAGCGTCTTCATGCTCGGGTTCTATTGTAAGATCTTTCAGTAAGTGCAGTACGTTGCATCCAAGCAACACTGGACAAGGTCTATGTTTTGGGTCAGCCTCCACAGAATCCTTCACTACTAAAAAATGGCCTACAACTGTGTAGTTGTAAACACTCAAAGGGACTTCAACATACCCCTCAATGGGTAGTTCAACGCAACTTGCTCCAAAAACTCGCAAATGCGTCCCTATCTGTTTCAATCCGGCCATCTTTTTAGCTAGATTCTCCCTGTAGAAAGATGCAGAAATCAGAGACGCCTCCGCTCCGGTGTCAAGTACACATGTGGTTTTGACGCCTGCCAAAGTCACACAAGCCTTTGGACTTTCTCGCACCAACTTAGAGAGCACCTCATCAATGGAAGACTCTGACTGCACCCTTCCACATTGGGAATCTCCATTTTGTGAGGCCTTTTGGACCTTGTCCTCCACCACTCGGCCTACAGTTGTGGAGCATGGGGGTTTAACCCCTCCCCGACTACTTTACCCTGCACATTACTACTTAACTGTGGTTCGCGTGATGGCTGAGCTGTTGTCGCTGCCTCCTTAGCTATTCTGCGCTTGCAATGAGCCTTGATATGCCCTGGTTTCTTACAGTAAAAACAAACCAGAGGTGGTCTGTTCCCGGCAGTATCCGATACCCACGGAATTTTCGCATCTTGCCCTACATGTACATGTTTCAACAATGTAGTCAACTGCTCCTGTTGCTTTAACAACATACCCTGTTGTGACTGGAGACATCGCAACAGCTCTTGCTGTTGTGCTAACACCTGTTGCAACTGGTCATTATTCCTATTAACTGAAATTTCATTGACCTTGACCCCCGGTGTACTATCTTCAGCCTCAGGTGATACACTTTCAGCTGACACCTGGTGCACTTGACTCCGTTTGGGGCGTGACCCCCCTTCAATGTCACGGAAAAGTTCCCGTGCTGCATCGCGCATCTCACTGAAACTTTGGGAAGGTTTGGCTAACTCAAGCCTGCGCAGCTCCAGCCTAACAGATTGAATTCTAGCACCAGCGACAAACTGGCTGATTAATACCCTGTCGCGTAACCCCTTGAGGGCGCCCTTCTCGCCTTCTGTCGCGACTTCAAGGATTCGATCATGAAGTCGCATAAGCGATCTAGAAAAATCCATCAGTGATTCTTCCTCCCTTTGAGTGCGCTCATAGAGGGCTTCTTGAAGAGACTGAACAGTCTCGTCCGCACCAAAACTCCTCTTAAGCAGTTTCTTTAGGGAAGCAATATTGTTTTTAATTTCATCCCCATGGCACTTAATCTCCTCCCGGGCTACCCCTGTTAAATGCTGAATGACAACCTTTGCTTGCTCATCCTCCGGGATACTGCATTGCTGAATGTACACATCTACTTCATCTAACCATTCTATTATAGTGGGGTCCCCTGCCCTTGTGGGTTTACCCGAAAACTTTGAAAGTTTGATTGGGCGCTGTGATACAGCCCGAGGCTTATCCTGCTTTAGGGCATTTGTCAGCCCTGTCACCAACTGGGTTATCAAATCTGTTTCTGAGTTAGCCATAATATTTGCTTCTGTGCCAAACAAAAATCCCTCAAGCACTCTCAATCAAACTTTCATAACTTGGGACACACTATTGCATATGAACACAGGTAAATGAGATAATGAGCAAACTACATGTATTAGGCAGACTTCAAACACACCTCGACAATACAACAACTGGGTATTTTGTGTTTTCAGGGCAACCCTTAATGAAATTATAGCCTACGTACTGTTCAACATACAATTAAAGGTGAAAGTTCATTAATCAGTCCTGCAGTTACAATACCATGAGCTGTTTCACCAGTCGATCCAGGCCGGAGACTTGTCAATCCTCAGTTCATCCACCGCAGCGTTGAACCGTCACTCCAGTACAGCAGGTGTAGCCGACTTGACTGTTGCCCTCTCGAGCTCCCCACACCAGTAGGCCCAGTCCAAGCGAGTCTCGGACATCAAGCTTCACGCCTCTGTCATCCAAATAGTGCTATCCGTCACAGCAACACCCCCGTTGTTCGAAGTGCAATAATTCAACGTCCAGCGAAGGCGTTTGTGTAGTTGCGGACCCCGTCTCCTCGCAGCGAAGACCGTACATCCGCTGCCCACGGGTCTCGGTGCGGATCAAACGGCAGCTGTCACGGCACAGCGGACTTCCAAGACAGTCCGCTTTTCAGCAAGTCAGGCTCGATTGGGAAGGCCTGCAGCTCAGGTCTCGGTTGCATCAATGGATCGACGAACTCTAAAACCGTTCGCCGTATTTCGTCCCGTCTTGAAGCTAGCTAAGCAGCAGCCCAGGCAAAATGATCTCTCGACGATACGCTCCAAAATTCTGTTTTTGTCGTCGTCAAGTTCACGTTTCAAACACGTTACCCACACCCCATCCGTGTTACCAATTTGTAGTGTTATTTTGCCGTGAAGCAAAGGGGTATAGGCTTCAATAAAACTGGAACGAAAACATACACAATGACTCTTCTATGTGATTTACTTGTCGAGCTGATTTATTTTGCTTCTGTCCACCGAAAATCATGCCGAAACTTCCCTCATGTTTCCACATATCATTCTGCCACTCATTTTTCCTGTTGCGCGTACTCTTTTCCCGCGCCTCCAAATGTATACATTGTAATCATTTATTGTCTAGCGTATGACCCTGGCGACCTCGGCGGGTCTGCCCAGATACGGATACTTTTTATAGGTCTTGTCTGACGCCCTCTCTTGATCGCAATAATAACACAAAAATGCATGGCCTGACAAAAGATTATTTCGCTACATACATAAGGAAGAACGCATATTAATTTGGCAAAATAATGCATAATATGCACGTGGCATCAGTCTTCACAGACTTGTTTGTAGGAATAGATGAATCTCCACTGAATATCAATTCAAAGGGATTCCATTTTTTCATGAGAGTCTAACGGTACAGTTGTGTTGACAATGGAATATCCCTCAATCAATGTCTGTACTAAGGCGAAAACCTGTGCACACGCGATTACGTTAGAACAGATATTTAGTCAGCTAGCAGGCCTGCGTGTACATGTATTGAAAATATAACAGTAATGTCAATTATGCAATAGAATATATGCAGGTGGAGCATTCAAATTAAAAATGCCGATTTTAGTCGTTTTTGTATTGATTTAAAGCAGGATTTAGATTAATGATTAAAATAATTCAAATCAAACAACCCTGTTCCCCAAAAATACTCTACAAAATGCATATCAAGTATAAGAAGAAAGTCATCGGATAAATCGATCTGTCTGTGAAATGTATGTGATTCAACACATCTGAACTAAAATTTGTCTTAACATTTTAAACAGAAATTCAATGTTTGCTATAAGTTAGCAATATACCATTGCAATGCTAATAATCTGAATAAAAAGGTGATTAAATATGTATCTGTGTATCGAATGAATCATGATCCAAAAGCAAGATTAAATCGAATCAAATGAAAATCGAATACATGTATGAGCCTTTATACAACACTCGGTGCTAACTACAATCATTGTTAGATCTCCAACTCTGCAACTTTTTAAAATAAATCTTTCGAAGTCATTTACCAACTTATTCTGGTATTTTGTTAACCTGTTAAGCCAGTTTGTTTTTCTACATTAACTGGCAACCATTGAGCAGCCTCAGTTACCTTGCTTAAAGAACTTCTTTTCAAAATTGCTATTTTTTTGCACCTTCGACAGAACACTCTCCTTTCACCATTTTTAAAACACTTTTAAAGGTAAACAAGATATCATCTCAATGAAATGAGCTACAATTCATATTTATTTCGCAGAAGAATGCAAATGCACGTGTCATCTGTCTAAGTATATAGGTCTTTACTGGTGTTCCAAATATACAAATTATGTCAATTATGTAATACAATATTTATTTTAATAATTAAATGCTAAAAAACAAATGTGTACAATACGTTAAATAAAATAACATTGCTATTAGTGTTTGCTCCAAATTTTAGTTTTATAGCGATACCGACAGTCGATAATTTATTGATAACTTCACCATTTTTTATATAAATGTTTTGTGCAACTTGCAAGAATCTGTAAGGAAATTTCCCAGTCGGCAAGTTATCATTTGCAAATAAACATTGTATGGCTTGTTATTATTTTACTGTTTGTACAGGAATGTACTTTACGAAGCTAATGGTTATATAATACAATACTGGAAAATCACTGTGTATTTTAGAAAAAACGGTTCAAGTATTATTATAAAATGTGAACATTTTTATCTTTAAAAACAATCATGCATGCACTCATTTGAGGGAAATCCGAATATTATGAAGTTCAACAAAATATTTATCTGTGAACGTTTCATTCAATGATGGTGAACCACAGTAATACCTCAGATTTAAATACCACAGTCCATAAACAACAAATGTCAATCGCAGAAAAAAAAATGGCATTTGGCATTGGTTTAAGACGCTTAAAAAGCCATGTTTTAGCTATTAGTTTAGCCTGCCACCTTCTATATATTGTAAACGATTTCATTCCAATACACGGAGAGAAAAGACTAGGATCTTTTTTCTTAGGAATGAAAGTGAGCAAGAAGCGTGTCCTATTGATCCATCTTGATCAATAATGATTTTAATATATTGGCCACTTGAAACAGACTTTTTTCTTTAAACCATTTTCTTTTCGGATACTTCTTATCTGGGAATGTGCAAGACACTTTATCTAATGACAATTTTATTGACATAATCCAAGGGATCATGGGCGGCGGTCGCATGGCTCCCGCTGGTTTCTCTGTCACTACACGGTCCGTCAGCACCAAAGGCGGTCTCCTGCTGCATCGGGACCAGATAGCTGTCGTCTTTGACACCAGGTTCTTCGCGATGTTCGATGGGTCGCTTACCAACCACACCCGCACTAGGAGCTGCTACGTAGTCACGGTCTCCCTCCAACAGTTCTTCCAGCTCGTTAGCAACTTGGACGAAGGTGCAACGTGATTTTGGGTTGTCCTGCCAGCAACATACCATTATGCCGTAGCTGTATCAGTCAGCAAATGTAACAAGAATCATTAGATGCTGCATGCTTGATCGTATATCAAATTGTGTCTGCACTTTTACTTGAAACCCCCGACAATACACTTTCCATTATTACTGATTACTCGAGCACATTAACCCTACATTTTTTGAAAAATGTTTGAGAATTGAGTTACCCTTTTTTTGAAACCCCAAACAAAACACTCTTCACAGTTTCTCACAACTACAGAGTGTTATATTCCTTCTTTAAAGTAAGAAAAACCTCTGAGAGTGAAACAGATTCCTTCACTTTTAGAAAAAGTTGAGCAAAATACAAAGAACCATGTATACTTTACAGCAGTTAAAACGACATTAGATGTGTAATTTTTTAAAAGTAATGGTGAGCGCTGTTTGAACATACACTTCTGGCGGGCAGTTCTTGGGAGCATCCATGCGTTGACCTCTCTTCAAGAAATCATACACATCTTGGTTGGGAATTCCTGGATACGGTTTTGCACCCTTACTGAAAATCTCCCATAGGAGCACACCGTATGACCACTGTAGAAAACCAAAGAAGACAAATATTTTTTTTCAATGTAAGAGACCATTCTAATGATGACTGTTCAATTGAGCTACCGAACAGTTGACATGAGCAAGCTGGAAAGGGTAGCCAAGATTAACGATGATTGACCAAACTACATTGTATTTGAGTCTTTATTGAACTGTTTAATGAGATCTTGTGTCAAATTTAAATAAAAACGTTTATTACTAAATTAACTTAGAAATCAGTTCGAGGTGGGCGTCTGAAGACGAAATACTCCAGCTAATGAGGGTCAGGCGCCTTGAAAACATACCCGATGTAAATTATCAATAAACTGACGTTTCATGGCCGGACATCGAAGTTCATGTAGTTTCTCTTCGAAGGATAGTTCCACAGAACGCAAAGTGATGTGTTTTGCTTTCTTTTCCGTTAAGATCTTTATCTAAACATCATCTAACATTCCAATCAAAGATGGATTTAATTGCGTACCACGTCAGTCCTGGCGTTGTACACTCGACGTTCCATGGACTCGGGAGCCATCCATTTGATAGGCAGCTTAGCCTGGGCATCGCCGCTTGTGTAGTAATCCGATTCGTGCATGTCACGGGATAGTCCAAAATCCGCTATCTTCACCAGAAGATCACTATCCACCCTAAAGAGGTTGTTAAAAGTTGATCTTACTTTGGGGTCACATCATTTAAGAATTGCAATGCCATTAATTCGAACTGTGGAGTTAATTCAATGAATGCATGTCCCTTGGTATCTCTGGTGCATTAAAATTATTTTCGATGAAACAGCTGACCTATTTCGTTTCGGTTTGCGGTAACACCATGTGGTAATAACTACTGCTTAGAAGATATTAGTTCTGAAAAGAACTTGTCCTGCTCATTATCAACTTCTAAACGAACTGACCGATTTCTCGTAACATTCATTTGGCTTTTACTCAAACACACATATAAAGACATGTGTAAAAAGCCCCGGATGATATAAAAGAGAGGATACACGTACATGCAATTTCTGGCCGCAAGATCTCTGTGGACAAACTTGTGCTGAGCCAAGTAACTCATACCGAGTGCAGCATGTGAGGCAAACCTCATCAGCAGAGATGTCGCCAAGGTCTAAATTGAAAGTAAAAACCTCCAATGAATAAATAAATACTGTTCTCAGATCAAAACACATGACATACTGTTTACGAAATGGGACAGCATTTTGTTCAATAAATCTTAATATTAATTATTAAACGTAACAACATGTACCAAAATCACCATTGAGTGAGCTCCAAACTCATGCCACTCATCACCTATTCTTTTATCAAACCTTCCACTACCTATTATCGACATTGATCGCTCTTGACTACACACCTGTTTCTTCTTGACCAGATATGTCTTGAGGTCACCGTTTGCCATGAAGGGTATCACCACCAAGGGGTTTTTGTCCGCGTCAAAGGTCAACCCCAGAAGCCCAAGAACGTTGACATGGTCGAAGGTTTTCATGATCAGGCCTTCTTCCAGGAACTTTACCACATTTTTCGGGTCCGAGGTGTCTATACATGTAAAAAATAAGGCAATTATATGTGTAAACTGGCACGCTAAACTTACATTTGGCCAAGCTACTACACAAAAACAGGAACTTGTATTTCAACTTATTTTCATCACCAGAGAAATGCAATAACCCAGAGACACAATCAATTCAGTTCAAGAACATTTTACAACCAACAATTCGCAATTCTGAACGAAAAGACTCTTTCGGCTCTTTCATTCAAGATGCACATTGATTAATGTTTTTCGTTCCTCTTTCTCGGTATAAGGTCATCCAACACCTCTTCTGTAACTCTAATCAGCAACAAGTATAATCAAGACCAAAATGCATACCATTCTGAAATGGGCCCTTTTTTTAACCGAGGAAAAACTTTTCAATGCTTTGTTTTGAATCCATGATACTGTCATAGAAAACATCTCTCACAAATGGCCGACATTCTCATCACCAACCTTGCACTGTCTTTACAGCCACAATTTGATCTTCCCCTGACGTATCGTGTAGAACAGCTTTCAGTACACGCCCAAATGCACCTGTAAAATTTATTCAAGTGTTTTATACTCATCTTTGCTGATTATCTTTTGCTGGTACGAAGACTAGCCAGCTGGCATACCAACCGACCTACCGACTTACTAACAGACCCAGCGACTGGCCGAGTCTAAATAATTTTCTAAGGGTCGAAACGTGAAAATGTGTTTCATTCACGCCAATAACGGTTTGCACACACAGCCCCTTTATTCTCAGGTAAAATAACAGCTTACTCTTTGAACTCATGAAATGTTCATTGTTTCCTCGTACAAAGTCACTACCTTGTCCGAGAGTTTCCCCAAATTCCAGTTGGCTGAAGTCGATATGGATGTCGTCGGGAACAAAGCTGACCTTGTTGTTCAGGACAATGCGCTTTTGTTTTGGCTGAGTAGATTCCGACTGTTTCTGGGATCTATACCACTTGCGTCTTTTGACGTGGGAGTCAATTTCTGAGGAAAAGAGATGCAATGTCGCATTAACAGTAAATAACGTAATATAGTGGTAAGTTTACGACCACGATCAGGCTTACAAATCAACAGACAAAACAACCTTTGCATGCTACACAACATTCACAAGTTGTCTAAAATGGTAAACACAATCTTGACAAAAGAGTTCTATATTTATTTTTGTTTTTGTAGAGAAATTTGTTTCATCCTGTCTACAACTTGACAATTTACAGTCAAATGAGGAGCACGCCATTTGAATTCTTTTGCCGTGTATTTTACCATCAAAACCGGCTGCCCGTTAGCGGCCACCTTGAGAGTTTTTTTAGAAGTAGAACATAATTTAATACGGAGATGTGCAGCTACGGACTGTTTAATTTGTTTCTTAACTATCATAATTATGTTTGAAAATTAGGAATTGATAAGTAGCCGGTAGACACAAGTGATGAAGGATAATTGGCTTTGAAATTTGAAAGGGTTTCGTGTTGTTTACCATTTCGCCGTCTTGCGATCAAGTGATTTTAACTTACAAGAGCATACTCATATAGACTGAGATGATACTCTCTCTTCACCGCAGTTTTGTGCACCTGTTTCTAGCACTCAGGAAATAAATATTCGAGTAAACTGAAGTCATCTCTTGCCACCAGCACTTACCGAGATGAATCGCCACTATCCTGCCCAATAGTCTTCGGTCGTGGGTGCGCTTCCTTTGCAATTGTTTGCAATACACGAAGGTAGCAGCGAGCAGTATCGCCATGGAGAGTGGAATGACCAAACTCGGTACAAGTATAGCGACAAGTGGCACCGTACTGGGATAGACCAAATAGCCCAACCTAAATTTTAAGTTATTGTGGCGAACCTATGGAATAACACAAATGAAATAATAAACGATTCAACATAGACTTGAATAAACGATTCAACATAACTGACATAGACTTAACCAATTTGTTAGTGTCAACGGTATAATAATCACTTTTGAAGAAACAATCAACAATGACAAAGTAGTGTAATTACGTTTTTGGGAGAACTGGCCGAATGTTGGGTGTTTTTTAACCTTTCGGATTGAGTAATACAGATGTTCAATCCATCTGAGGAACAATGTTTAAACCTTGCTTAATAATATTCAATCCTAGATGAGCCGCTTTTCTTGGTCATTTTACAGCCAGAGGGGTCTTCTCTTCAGATTTCGGGAGTGTAATGACCGAATATTATGAAATTCTTTGACCGAAGAAATAATGATTCAAATTTGTTAATTGAACAAAAACTGAGAAAGAACATCACATTTACAAAGTTATACTTAACATTTATTTGAAAAGGTCCAGAAAAACTTCATTTCTTTTGGATGTTTCAAGGATATAATATTAAATAAGCACAATGAAAAATTACCCGCAAGTTTGTAAGGGCGTACAGTGGCGGATCTATACCGGGAGGGTAAGGAAATAAGCCTCCCCCTTGGGGCCGCACAAGAAGGAAAAATCTCGAAAGAAAAGAACAATTGAAAGCTACCCCCCCCCATTCAAAAATGGATCCGCCCCTTACTTACCCATACCACAGGCAGACCTTTCCCGGTATCTTCTCCCATGTAGTCACCGGCTGCTGGTGCCTCATCGGGCAATTCACATACGAGTGTTGTCCCAGTGATCAGGCTAACGGGACATCTCTCTACGCCGATCGTCACGATGATTTCTCCAGCTTTGATGGCGCTGTCAATCCGCTCGCCCTGTCAAAGCATCCACAGGTAATTCAAGTTCAATTGTTTGAAAGGAAATTTATTGGTATCTGCATTGGTATATTTCGGAAGAGTTTAGTCTTTTCGGTTGTGACAATTAATGCTCAACACTTTTATTTATTTCTAAATACGAGGGCCATATGGCTGTATCACACGTAAGAATTTCTGTCGTTTTTCATGTACATGAACTCCTACACACCGCGTGAGGACTGAGGTAAAAAAAAAAACCTTAACTTTTATTTCACATCACATTTACATTTGCTTTTGCAATGACTGATCTGAGTGTGATATGAAGTTTTGTAACTCAGCAAGAGTTACCAAGTTAGGCCTACTGTATTTTTGGAAGATCCACTTGATTCAGGAGGAAGAGACATCAACTTGAACTTATCTTGTGTCACATATGAGAGGTGTTATCACTTTGAAAAAGCGCTGTACAAGTGTGCTTCGTGCACGTTTACCGACAGGCCCCATATATCTATATATACAGATAGAAAAAACAATGAAAGGATAGGCGCATAGAATAAGACACGCGTATACCAACCGTGATTGTCAAGGTTTCTCCTTCTTTTTCCTTCATACCACCTTCAAATTTGTTATACATTGGATCCTCAAAGTACTCCAAGTTGGCATCGTTATCCTGAGACCATGTCAACAGTTGAGTGACCCCATCCATGATGAAGCCAAAGGTCAAGTTTTCATTGCTTATGTCGAGGTCTGTTATGTTAGGAGACGGGCATTGCATCTCTGTTGCAGATTCACCTTGACATTCCTGCGAAATAAAGACCCACATCAGTAAGTTGACAATTCTGTCCAGCATTAGCTCCGGTTAACAATGGCACCCCTCTTTGTTTCTACTTTAAAACCGAAATGTGTTTAATGATGTAATGGCTGTCATTCTTTACACAGTACCCTTATTGCAATGTTCACATTTTAAGTGGTTGTTTGCGGTAACTTAGTAAAATAGAAGTTTTAAATGTTTCCTAATTATATATGTTGGAAGAATGGAGCAAGTAGATATAATAAAGGAGGTTAAGCGAGGATAGGGCAGATATAAAATCATTTATACAGATAATAAGTATAACACATTTCTCACCTCATTTGCATTAGTGACAACGATTTGACGGTTTCTACTTGTGTTTAGAAAAGTGCCAGTAACCGTCAACATTCGACCACCCCTGACAATTAAAATACCGATAGCAAATACTGAAAATATATTCTATACACTGAAAGATATGGGCTGGTGTAACATCACTCTAAAACAATTCAGAAATGCACGAACATGTTCACTTTCAGATATTTGAGCAAATGACATTTGGAAGTTAAGAATAAAGCATAATAGTTCACTGTTCACTCAGTTAACAGTTGTCTTCAGTAATAAGAAGATTTGTATTAGTCTGCTTCTGAAAACAGCCATGCATAAACTTGGCTGCAAGCTTGCTACTTGACAGTGTATCGCGTATCTAACAGAAACATAACATTTCACTAATACCAGGACCATTTTCTTGTTTGTGTATATACCAAAAACACTATACCAAAAAGCTATATTTAAAACACAGACATTTTCATAGGACAATAGAGGCTGTAATAAAAACTAGGTAGAAATAATGTGGTCGATACAAATTGAAGTATATACCAAAAACACTATATACCAAAAAAGCTATACAAACTAGCCCATCATGTTAAAACAGATGAAGACAAAAAAATCATGCAGACTCACGAAACGATGCTTTTCAGAGGAGAGGCCTCAGTAATGGTGGGATTCTCAGTGTACATGTACGTGTACAGATCTGCTGAGGTTCTCATGGCCCCATCGAAGGAGACTTTCACAACACCTTGATATCCAACTTGGCCAGCAGTAGTTGTGCATTCTAGCATGGATTCAACCGGTTTGCTTTACAATTTGAGAAAGAAAAAAATCACTTGAGACAGAGGCCATGTAAAATTTTCTGCAGGGACGTAAACGTGAATTCATCTCTGTGTATGATGCTCCTTAATACTGAATGGATGTAAAGCAATTATTTTTCAAGGTAATTGGAAATTGGACAGGATAAAGTAGTTTTTTATAATGAAATATATTACTAACAAAAGCCGTTCCACAAAGGTGGGAAAGGAAAACCTTTTTAAGAAAAATTAAAGCAACTGAAGCTTGATAGAGGTCCAAATGATTTTGTTGAAACTAGAAATTGTACCGATGTTGGGGAGATCCCTCTTTTTCCTGAATTAATAATTATCGTACAAAACACTGTTATTTGTTTCCAAT